TGAAAACTACATGTAAGTCAAGAGAAGTTCAGTGAAGTTTGGAGATTTTAATGGAAGTTCCATGATCTTAACTTTCGAAAACTCTAGGAAATTTAAGAACTTCTGGATGGATTAATGAACTTCAGGAAAATCGCAGGAACTTTTCAATTGTTCTGAGAAATTAAGAAAAGTCTTGAGAAATTTGTTTCAGCCTAGAGATTTTTAGAGCCAATAGAGTACCAATAATTTCAGAAATGCATCGAAAAATTCTGAAAAGTCTTAAAATATGAGATGTTTGGGTTTCGATCTTCATCAGAGCTAGCTTTAGTATGTATTTTGCATTGCAATTGCAAGAAGCATAAATCCGGGAGTTAGAAGGTGACAGCTCTATCGCTACTCCAAAAGCCCATTTCAAGAACGCAAGCATTTCGAAGCTATTTTTTGTATACGATAAGCCCCGCTCCAATACATTTCAATGTGGGAATCATTAATAATGTACTGGACCTTTCAACCAAGCTGTATTGCTTGATTGACGCGTATTTAATGAGTCGGAAATGTTTGTAGTATCACTAGTACCAGTACTAGTACTCGGAAATTAAGTATGAAAATATTATAAAGAACAAAATGGAACGAACTCACCAAATCTGGCCAAGTGAACGCAACAAGCTGGCCTGATGTGTTAGAGGGGAAGTCGCAATTGTAGACAGGTCACTTCACAGGGTAATCCGGTTTGTGGTAGAGTTTGCACGGAATGTCCCGAATGTAGTCTTGAAACACCTCTTGGCAGTCCGGCACAATCCGCAAACTGTGGAACTCGATTCAGGAAATTCATGTATCCGTTCGTCACCAATATCACTTTACTGTTAAAAAAAAAACAATCCGGAACAACACAAAATCCAAAAATCTGACTTCCATCTACAAGCACAGCACTCTTCGATAAGTCATCAGGACTTTTTTTTAGTAGATCGAGAAAAAAAAAATTGTGCTGAACGAAAGATGATACAGCTTTATTTCTCATGAAGAAGGTCAAAGGTCTGAAAACTGAAACGTCAGACATCGAATATCGTAGCGTTTTGATCCACCGTTAAACTGAAAATCCAATACCTAAAAAATAGTATTTCAAAGTTTTGCTGATTGCACTGATTACAGACAAATTTTACCAGCACTCTAGTTTTCTGTGTGCTTCCCTTAATAAGAATTATGGACGCATGGATTTGAGATGAGCGGGAAGCACATATGCAAAATAAGTGATCTTAAGTAACCAGTTCTGAATTTACCATGACATCACTGTTTGTACATTTCTGTGTTTGAGAATTTATTCTCATATGAGACAGGTTGCATTGAATTTGCTTCACATGTTTTGAAATTAAATAATCCGGATAATAGAATATTCAAAGAGATTGAATAAATATATGATTTCTTTATCATAGTCGCTTGAACATTTTTAGGTTATTCGTGACTTTTATGGGATACCAATTTTAAGGAGTGACCTTAAGCCTAAGAGAACAGCAAGACGGACTCCCTGAAATAAATTTTTATTCTAATTTTTTTCGATTTATTTTCTTAAAACCCCTTGGTACCAGTAATTTACCGGTGTTACTGAACCTCTCAATACCGTAATACCGGTACTCTTAAAATGGATCCGGTACTGCCAACCCTAATCTAGATCATCAACATGTTATATATATTAATTCTTATCTTACTCTTTTTCTACAAAATAGGAGTATTATAGAGCAATTCTGTTCAGTAAAAATTATGATTATCTCTTAACAGTTATTTTTGAACCCGTTTTTTGTTTAAGTCAGGGGTGATATTTGAAGTGTTTTATTTTTTAAATAAACGGGAAAGAACCTGGAATTGAAAAATTGCCTTTGAATGGGCACCCTGGTTTCAGCGAGAATTGGTCAAAAGATTTCATTCACTGTTTGTTTTCAACACATTCGAGACAAGCTTATGACACTTTGGAGGCAAACCCAGAAATGTTAGGAGGTATAGGGTATACGTCCCTAACCTCGGTCTAATATGCAGCCATAGATTACGTTTTTAATCATAACTCATCAATTAATTTACCTGCAAACGATATTCTACTGCTAAATGGTATGCTTAGATATGCTTATCATGTCGTTTGCTATCAGGAACCGCAAAAAGTTGAAAAACTTACTTTTTTTAAGACAAAAACTCACCAGGGAAATGTATGTAATATCGGTCTATTGTCCCCAAATTGGGTCTATTTATGGATGCAACTTCGTCCTATCCTGTTTGATTCTCAAAAAAAACGCTCTTGGTAACGTTTTCTTATGTATTTTTTTTTATCACTATCACTGTTAACTTAATACTCTTCATTCCTCAAAACATTTCTTAGAGAAAATTTTACGAAAACTACATTAAATCATGAAGTAATGAAATTGGGTTGTTAGCGGAATGCTAAATAAAACAGCAAAAGGGTTTATCTTCCATTTAATTCCACTTAATTAATTTTGGTATCCATGACAGATACGTATTTCGACTACAATGTGCAGTCTTCATCAGTGTCATTCCCACTAAAGAACTTATCAAAATCTAACCCCCTTAAGTACTCATCCCCTAGGTAAAAAAGTCAAGATCATAGGTATAAAAATGAAACTACAATGTGTTGAATCGGAACCTACCTAACTAATAAAAACCAAAGATTTAAGTAAGCTAAAGGAGAAAAATCTATACAAATCTCTAATAAGGAAAATCCCCAAAGGCTTGGTAGCCATCATAATGAAGTAATGAAATTGGGTTGTTAGCGGAATGCTAAATAAAACAGCAAAAGGGTTTATCTTCCATTTAATTCCACTTAATTAATTTTGGTATCCATGACAGATACGTATTTCGACTACAATGTGCAGTCTTCATCAGTGTCATTCCCACTAAAGAACTTATCAAAATCTAACCCCCTTAAGTACTCATCCCCTAGGTAAAAAAGTCAAGATCATAGGTATAAAAATGAAACTACAATGTGTTGAATCGGAACCTACCTAACTAATAAAAACCAAAGATTTACATTAAATCACTCAAGTTAAAAATTAAAAATTAAAAATTTCGCTTATCGTCTTTCGACCGCAGAATATCTAAATCAAAACATTGTGATGTTCATTATACAGATTTGGCAGAAAAAATCTCCCTTCCTGTTCGTTCCTTATCATCCAAATGCAAACCACATTGTTGACGTTACTCTTATTGCTATATGCTGTCAAATGAATTTCATGGGCCAAAGTTAGGAACATAGAAAAGAAATGTGTCCCTAAAGTTGGGTCCATGATTTACTTGTGAAAACGTTGTTAAACAATTAAAATAAACATAAAATATTCAAACAGTAACTGTGAGTTTTACGTCTAGTGTGTATTATCAGGTAATTCCATTCAATAAATGCCATAATCAGGCCATTTGATGATCGTCAGTGCAACCTTCCCATCTTAACCTTAGAAGTCATGGCGGCTAAAAACTCCGAACAGAGTGATATTCTCAACCAGTTTTATTACTTACGAGAGCTGAAAATGTATTGAAATGTTGTGATATAAATTGATTTGTGTGTGGTACACATTTATCAATCATCAGTGATCAATATTTTCCTTATTTTTTGTGTAATATTCCTTAATTAATTATTTATTTGCGTGATAGGCCGAATGAAAGGACTAGACCCACATTACATACCGTAACCCTACCTACTTCTGAAGGTTTCAATGAAAATGAATTAATATCCGATAGCGTTGCCACTATTTTGGTTCTTTTGCCATACCACTTCGATTTTTTTATTACAAATCTCAGAAACTAAAAAGATTTCGTTCAGGAAATTGTAATCACCAAATTTCACCTCCAAGTTTTCTCGGATTGCCGTAGGGGTAATCTACAGAATACAGGACTGCAGGACAAAATCTACAGAACAATACATGAAAGTTCTTCAGAAATATTTAGAAAACTTCCTGAATATACCCCTGAAGTTTAGAAGATTTAACATCAGACTGCTATGCTGCCTATAATCCCGTATCAGTCCCATATGGAAGAAGTAGGCATTGAGAAAATAGCAGTTGAAGTTACGAAGTGCAATTGAGTTCTCCAAGAAGGATCTCACGAACACTACACTAATAACATAATTTTTCTCACACTAGCGTATACTGTCATGTGCACGGTAAGAATCAAACTTCCATTTATGATTAAAAGTGAACCCATTGTCAATCAAAGTGGTACTACTAATTAATGAGCAATTTATTATGCCAATTAAGTAGTAACTGTTAGCTACTGTTAGCAGCAACTCATTGTTGTTAAAATAATTTACTCATTAATGAGTAAAGCCGCTTTTATTAAAAATGGGTTAACTTTTACTCATAAAAGGGTATTTGACTGTTACCGTGCAAGCGTAGGGTTTGTTTTCGTTTTGTTGCTTATTTTTACTTTAGAATGACAGTTCTTACAGCAAACAAAAAATTTCTCACAGCTAACAAAAAATTTCATCTCACTAACACACGCAAATCGCACCAATACGAACCCGCCTGGAGAGGACTATTCATAGTAAGATATATTTTTCAACTTGAAATCAGTTACAATGACGATAGCATGTTTTATTATATCAGCGAAAAATATGGCGATCCAAAAAGTAAAACTGTAACTTGACCTCTGGACGATTGAATTTCAGGATGGGATTGATATGCGATTACTTTGCTTAATGAGACAAACTGACTTGATGTTGTTTTGACATTTTTCACGATCAAAGCCCGTAGTTTTATCACGCAATATAAAAGTAGATACCAATTGATAGTGGATAGCGTTATCTTAAAATTGACGAAAATCCATATGGGACTGATATGCGATTATAGGCAGTATAGTTCGGATGTTTTTGGATGTGCCTTTACATCCTTGTATAAGAGGCATGATCTGAAAAACCTTTCATTCCAAGTCTAGCAGAAACTATTGACATAGCAAGATGACCATCAAAATCAAACCAAATCAAAACTAAAAGATACTCGATCATCTTTATATCATCCATTCTTCATTTCCAGTTGGTCGTCTCCTCGGACGTCCCGTACAAAAGCCTCTTTTCGAACGATAAACCCGATGACCTGCACACCTCGGACGAACACCGGATGCTGATGGACGACCTGAAAATCACCAAAGACTCGACGGACGCCTCGTCCAACATCTTCACCGGCGAGGAAGAAGCGTTCGCCTTCGAACGTACCGTTTCCCGGCTGGCCGAGATGCAATCGGCCGAGTATTGGTCCCTCTGGGAAAAGCACCGATAGGCCCGCGCTTATGTACTTACTGTATGTTGTTGTGTGTATTTATATGCACAATTAGCCTACCTGTCGTTTAATAGAATAACAAATTGTTCCATCGTTGATGCGCACATTGTGTAAATATATTTATTTGAGCAACATTCAATAAAGCAAGAGAGTCTATACGGAAGCGTTTTATTTGAAGCTGTCCCAACGAATCCAATTAGAATTGAACTTTGATTGGGAAAGTTTAGGCCCCTCGTTTTCCAACAAGAACTGTCATAGAACAAACTGGCATCACTGGGAACAGTGAACGTCATCGTGCAGTTACTATCAAAACATTTACCATAATCACTCTCGTTTGTTGAACGCATTTCTATTATCATCAGTATTGTCCCAAGTTCGCGACTAACCAGTTCAGCACGCACATTCCGCAAAGTACAAAATATCAACCTCATTAGCATTATGGTTGAAAACAAGGAAATCCCTTTCGGTGAGTCTTACCAGTTGACATAAATGTATCTTAAAATATCACTAGCATTATCCTACCTTCATCCAGATCCCATTCCACTGGAGAAGGTCTACATCAATCTACGCAGTGTGGAGCAATCGGTTGAACTTTTGACATCTTCGCTTATCAAGCAACAATCACCGACTCAAATGCTCCACTGGACATTGAAATCGCTGCGTCTGATGGATTTGACAACGCTCAGCGGAGATGACACCCGAGCCAATGTGGAGCGCCTCTGCTTTCGGGCGGCTCATCCCTTCCCGCACCGACACCTTTCGGATGCTACCACAGGTAGCATTCACACGGCTGCCGTTTGTGTCTACCCAAGTCGGGTTCGGGATGCTCATCAATCACTCGAGGCCCTCGGGGTAATCGGCGAAATTGGAATAGCCGCCGGTATGTCGGATGTGATGAATGAATCGATTATATTTTGATTTTGAACGGATTTACAGTTGCCACTGGGTTTCCTTCCGGATTGTACCCGTTGAAGTCTCGTCTGGCGGAGATCGAATATGCCATCGATCAAGGGGCGACCGAAATCGATATAGTCGTAGATCGTAGTCTGGTTCTGAACAACAAGTGGAAACAGTTGTACGATGAAATTGTTCAGATGAGACATGCTTGCGGAGATCGGGCTCATCTGAAGACGATTCTGGGCATCGGAGAGTGCGGAACGATGGTCAATGTAGGTTTTTAAATTTGTTTAACTTTTAGTGGGTTTTCAATCATATTCATTTATAGGTGTACAAAGCGTCGATGGTCGCAATGATGGCCGGGTCGGACTTTATCAAGACATCAACCGGAAAGGAAACAGTCAACGCCACACTACCAGTTGGACTGGTCATGATCCGTGCCATTCAGGAGTTCCATAGACTAACTGGAAAGAAAATCGGTCTGAAACCTGCCGGCGGTGTGCGCACCGTCAAGGATGCCGTAGCCTGGATGATCATGATCCAGGAAACACTTGGTGACGAGTGGCTTCAGCCAGAGCTCTTCCGCTTTGGTGCATCCGGTCTTCTGGACGACGTCGAGAAGCAATACTACATTCTTACGGCTAAGTATATTCACTAATTGATTGACAAGACTTTGACTTTGATTTTGTTTTATTTTTTATTAAAATTTGTACAATACAATAACAATAAATAACTAGAGAAATTGCACGCTCCTAGCTCTCGACTCGAAAGCCCTTCTCAGGCGACGAACTGTAATCTACGATTCGAAACTTGCCACTTCTGGTGTAGTATCCGTAGCGGCCTCTAACGTTGCCATCGTTGTCACGTTCTTCTACGCGAAACTGCCGGTTCTTCCTGCGGAATAAAAATGCACACCAATTTATTACCGATTCACAGAAATATAACACAAACATAAACCCCAACCATGCTACCAATAATCACGAATGTCAGTCTGATTCAATTCGTGCTGTGCTCAGGCACGACACGAATCACGAATTGAAACAGAATGGCACGGTAATCGTCCGGCAAACACCCACAAATAAACCAATACCAAACTTTGTTATCACGCAATCAAACCCCCAATTACCCGCTACCCGTGTCATATCCAAACGCATAGCTATCCGGTCCTCTATGACCGTGCAGCTGATAATCAACTCGAGCACCTTCGTTCTCAGTCGGCAGCCACCTGGTATGTTCGTCCATCCGTCGCTGTTGGCTAGGCATGAACTCTCCCATGTTCAACTCGGTATGCTTCAGCTCCTTGGTAGCCTTCCCCTTGGCAGCCTCCACGTCGGCATCGGCCTGAGTCAGCCAGGCCGACGCCAATAACTTTTCCAAATCCAACCCTGCCAGAAAGTCCACCTCGTCTATTTCCCCGCTGGACCACCCGTTGTTCTGCCTTGACTTTTCGTTTTCGATTTTCTCGATGTTCTCCGCATTCTTAATGTTCACCAGTTTCTGATTGGGAACGTACTTCTTGTTCTTGCTCTTCCTCTGCTTGGCAGCGTAGTAGTTGGGTTCGTTCTGCTCGATTGGTGGCGGCAGCAGTGGTTCCGTGAGGTCATCCTTTCGGGGATTATAGGATCCGTAGGACATCTTTTGGGGAGATTCGACTAACTCGCTTGGCAAATCGATCTCCCCAGCTGCGAAAAAATCCATCAGTCGTTCGAATTCATCCTGCTCCTTGGGGATCACTCGAATGAAGTAACCTGAGCCAGGTTTCTTCGGTGGTGCCGGTTCCTTGCTGACGGGAACGGAAATCGCGGCCGTGTCACTGTCTAGTGAACGATCTTCCCGGCTGGTGACCAGAGCCTGTGGTTTACTGACCCTCATCGGGTGTGCGTAGGAATGGGCGATTATGCAGGATAGGCATCCCGTTAACTGAAATAATAGACAAGGAAAATCAAATATGAAATAAACATGTTGTAGAAAAAGATTTTTTTTTTAATCGATGTACAATCTGAACCAAAAACATGTAGGTACTACCTAGGGTACTACGGTGATGCCAATAATAGAGTGGTTAAGAAATAGACTATCAAATCATATATCATTTCCTCAGTTCTGTTCACATCGGCATAATATGATAACCCAACAAACATAAGAAGCAGAATATGAGCTTATTCAGGCAAAAATATGCTTCTTCAGCTAATAAATGGCTTATTCAACCTTTAAGCAGCAAAATTGTTTGTCGAGACGAATCAACCAACGCACTCGGTATCGAATGAAGATCAATGATTTTCAAACAAATCTCGATAACTTTTTCAAAGGGACGTATCAGTTTTTGTAAACAATGCCTTTGATCGTCGATTTGGCGTAACTGGTAGCTTGCCCACGCATGCTAACACTACCAGCAGATAGGGGAAATTTTCCCCTACCTGCTAGTGGTGTTAGTAAGTGTGTATGAGCTACCAGTTACGCCAAATCGACGATCAAATGCATTGTTTACAAAAGCTGATACGTCCCTTTGAAAAAGTTATCGAGAAATGGCTTATGCCATCATTAATGTGTTGCATTTGGCATTGGACGCCATTGATGCCAGAATGTTTTAAAGCTTATCGGTATGAAAGGTTTTAAAAAATCGGTATTTATCGGTATTTACTATAGTTATTAATTTTATATTTTTGGCGTTTTTGAAAGCGAAAATTTTAACTTTTGGACTATGATCGGAAAATTCTGGAAGAAAACTCCGGGGAATGTTTGAATTAGCTTCTGGAGGAAGCTGAAAACAAGAGCGAGAGAAAGAAGCTCTCCTGAAGGAAATTTGAGGAAGGTTCTGAGAGAAGTCGGAAAAACATCCGCGGAACTTCCAATACATAAATTGAGAAACTTCTGGTGAAAATTTAAAGAAACTCAGAAAAACAAAATCGGATTTCACATTCAAAGGAAGGCAGAAAAGTTTCGGAAACCGGAAATAAATTCCAGAAGTAGCCATTTCCAGGGGAAGCCAGAAGAAGCTCGGAAAACCTTCCGAAAGAAGTAAAAAAAACCAACTGGACAAAATTCCAGAACTAGACGACAGAAATTTCTGGGAGAAGTTTAATTGAACTTCCTGGAGAAGACGGACCAAACTTCCTGGAGACGCTGGCTGAAACTTCCTAAGGTAGATTGAAAAAAAATCCGGAAAAAGTCGGAAGCCAGAGCGCTTACGGAACAGTTGAAAGAAACAAGGACATAATTCCGGAAGAAAGAGCTCTTGGGAGATGTTCTAATAATCCAGAAAACCCCGCAATGCCCCTGAAATTTTTGGAACATTCCTGAAATGTACTAAGGAATATTCCATATTTCCTCGGGCTGTTTTGGAGTACTCTGATCATCTTTGAAATACTTGGAACTTTCCAGATTATAATGAGACTACCGGAATATCTCTAATCAACTTTGAAGGTTTTTAGACTTTCTTGAAGATTACGAAATTTTTAAAGTACTCTCACAATTTTCTTGAATTTATTGTAACATCAGTATTGAAGTTCTCTGGTCTTCCCGATTTTTCTAATTTTTAAAAGTTATCAACACTGCCATCAATAAGCACAGAACTTCCGATAAAATGTTCTCACAATGTGCTTATGTTCGTGTAACTTCCCTTACGTTTCTTAAATTTGTATGAGCCCTTCGGAACATTGCTGAAGTTTTCGGCAATTGCCTGAGTTTCTTGGAACTCCTTTAAAATTTCAGCGATTTCCTTGAAATTTTATTGATCTCTATCTGATTATCCTGATGTTCTCGGATCTTCCTAATGTTCTCTCAATTCTCCTGAAACTAATGGAACTGTCCTGAAAGCCATTACATTTTCCAGAAGTTCTTTGGCCTTGTGAAGTATCCAAAATATTTATGATGTCTCGTTAAATTCACTGGAGTTCGCTGGACCGGGTTTTAGAATTTTAACAGAAGTTACTTTCTTTAATTTATCGAAACTTACTCAAAAGTCTGGACTTTTCTGAAGTTTCAGAACTTTTTTAAAAGTTCCTGCAGCTAGTGTGGATCCGCAATCAAAATCTAGCTGAATCCCTGAAGTTCCGGGAAGAATCATTCGAGCGAAGGCTGAAGACGCTTTCCAGAGAAGTCGAAATAAGTTTCCTAGAGGAATCGTAAATAGAAAATTCCAGGGGAAAGTTGGAAGACAATCCAGGAAGTTAAATAATGTTTAAAAAGTATTTCCCGATTCCCCCGGAATTACCAGAAAGAGCCATCGACTGTTTATCGATTCATGGGAAGCCAAAAACGGTGGGGAAATTGAAACATTCATCGGAACACATTTTTGAAGATGATTTTTTTTTTAGAATTATCAAAGACTCAAAAAGTTTTAGATATTCAAAACAATACAAGTCTTACACAAAAATTTTGATTTTTTTTTTTCCTTTGGTTTGTTTTTTCCTTTTATCTTGTTTTCCGTGCTGAGCACCAATGCTACCGACGTGCCAGGAAGGCAGCTCCCACACCTGGACCCTACCTATCGACCGATCAACTCATGAACCGGGGACCAACGGCTTTACTTCCCATCCGAAGGAAGGCGTGATCAGAGATGTTATGCCTCAGAACATCCCGGCGGCGCCGACTGGGATTGAACCCAGGCCTACTGGGGTGAGAGGTAATCACGCTTACCACTACACCACCGGCGCCGTTGAAAATTTTGATTTTGATTATTTCAGTGCCAACATTTCAAATGGGCGTAATTGTTTTTGTAAACAATGGCTTTAGCTGTCGATTTCTCGCAACTAAAAGTTCACCCCTCCAAAATAACAACGCTTACTGATAGAGGAAACATTCCTTTACCTGTTGGTGTCATTATTTTTCATGATTGAGCATTTATTCGCGAGAAATCGACTGCTAAAGCCATTGTTTACAAATGCAATTACGCCCCTTTGAAATGTTGGCACTGATTTAAAAAATCGGTATAAATCGGTGTAACACCTCAAAAATCGGTATTCTGAAGAACCTTATCTGTATATCGGTATCTACACGGTAAGAAAAAGTACCCAAAATTGAGTTCCTTTGACTCATCACGTGGCTTCCGTGGGGCTAGGTAAAATTAAGTTTAAGAAGAAAACTCAATTTTGAGTAATCCTGATCGTTGACCAAGTTGACAAAAAATAATAAGACGGAGCAGACTGGAACCGAACCATGGACGTTGAGATTACGGGGCCCGTGTGTTGACCACTCGTCTATCAACGCTTGTGAAAATGAAATGGTTAAAGGCGCATAAGAGCAACCAATATGAAAATAAACTTATATTTGAGTTCATTTATTATTACTCAATAGTTGAGTAAATTTTAACCAACGCCGCTTTTCTGATTCACTGAACGGCGGACCTCAAATGATAGAACCCAACGTTGAGTTTTTTTTTAACTTAATTTTGAGTATTTTTTTCTTACCGTGTAGTTTGTAAATCGGTATAAATACCGATAAATCGGTATATCTGGCAACGCTGTTGGACGGTGACAAAACAGAAGAAATTTCAACCGGTACGAGCGATCTGGTTGATGGTACTCAAATCTCGAACCAAGTGGTTCCGAAAACATGAACTGGGTTAATTTTCAAAAGAATACACAATTTTGATTGAATCATTCTTACTATATTGCCGAGGCAGTAAGAAAACTTCATGAAAAGGATGTTGTCAAAGGTTGTGAAATCATTACATCCTACTATAATATTCAATACACAGAATCATTAACACAGGTAGTAGGACATCTCTTGGAAACCACTTTTGCGGGTAGCAAATTTTAAGATTGAAGTAAAATAGTGTACATAACGGTAAGGCTATAGTATAGTATACAGATCTTTCTGTTATCTTTCTTTATTAAAGAAACTTTCAGCCATCGGCTGGTTCATGTCTGAGTATACAGATGATACCTGTATCCGAGCAAGTAAATTTCTTGCTGGATAACTGCAAAAGGTTTCATTTTTTCCAGTTGGACAAAAGGGATTTTAAGTCTACACTGGAGTCGCTTTTTACGCGGGTGATACGTCCCGCGTAAAAAAAAACCGCGTAAAAAAAAACCGCGTAAATTCCGGAATCCGCGTAAAAAAAAACCGCGTAAATTCCGAAATCCGCGTAAAAAAAAACCGAGTAAAAAAAAACCGTGTAAGAAAAAACCGCGTAAAAAGCGATATACCGCGTAAATTCTGAAATCCGCGTAAAAAAAAACCAAAATCCGCGTAAAAAAAAACCGCGTAAATTCCGGAATCCGCGTAAAAAAAAACCGCGTAAATTCCGAAATCCGCGTAAAAAAAAACCGCGTAAAAAAAAACCGTGTAAAAAAAAACCGCGTAAAAAGCGACTCCAGTGTATTGGATTCTAAGCTCGAAGGCCTTTGAAGCGCTTTAAATAGATTGTGGAAATAAACGGTTTACTTTGAAAATTACAGATTGTTGTTGAAAACCATTTCTAGCAGTTCGGAATACGACTGAATAAAATTAAATATGAATAGAAAATCAAGCAAAAATAGGACTGATATGCGATTTTGGGCGGTTTAAAGGGTGTCCCACATCAAATTACATCACGGAAAAAACGCTGTAGAAAATTACCCATTGGGTATTTTCTCTTGAAAATTTGGGTAGAAGTAGTTTAGAGTGTATTCTTTACACTGTATTTTTATCGCTGTCAGTTTTTCAGAAGAAAAAATGGCGTCACCCGAAAAGCAACGTCGCGAATTGATTTTGCGCAAGCACCTGAAAAATCTTAACTCTCTCATCGGGACATCGGAAAACAACTCGGAATCGTGCCGTATGATTAAACGTTACTACGAAACTCTGAGCATCGAACGGAAGGAGAAATGCGGTCAGAATGGATGTTCTATTAGTGATCAGGATCACAAGCGTGTCGTGAAAGCGTTTAAGCGGAATCCCAATGCTTTGGGCAGAGATGAGGCCAAACCAGTTGAATCTGT